AGGACAACTGAGGAGTGTGGTGCCCAGGCCTGCCCTAGGAGTCCTGCAGAACATCATGCAAACGGTGGCAGGGACCAGATGATGTGGAGCTCTTTCTGCCCAAGTGCCTTTGTTGCTGCTTTAGCCATTCACTTCTTGATGTAATAACCTTGCTTCTATCACCATTATGCTCCTAACTGAGTTAGGGAAAGCAGTTTGGTGGGATGCAACATGCTCTGCAGGTGCTCAGGAGATCTCATGCATGTGTGGTGTAAGCCCCATGCCTCTGTGGCTGTGACTGCTTGTTAATCTTCTAGATGGCCGGGGTGATGTGTTACTCCTCTGCACTAACACAGCATGTGGTGGGAGTAGTGGGGAGAGTGTGAAGAGCATGACCTTGGCCGTGGTGTGTCCTCCCTGCACCTCACTCCTCCCCTTGAACGTCTCCTCTAGGAGGATCTTGCTGAACTATGCAGTTTTTAACCCAACGATCGGATACTCCCAAGGGATGTCTGACCTGGTTGCCCCAATCCTGGCCGAGGTCCTAGATGAGTCGGATACTTTCTGGTGCTTTGTGGGATTGATGCAGAATACGATCTTCTTCAGCTCACCCCGGGATGAGGACATGGAGAAACAGCTGGTGAGGCTGAGCACAGAGCTCGGTTTTGTCATGTCTTTAACTTCTCCCTGCTCAAATTAGGAGAGTGTCATGAAGCAGTTGCCTAGGCTGTTGCTGTGGATTCCAGCATACAGAGCCACATCCCAAACTCATAAAATGCCTGGTAGATAAACGAATCCTAGGTGACCAGGACACTCTGGAGCCAGTTATAGCCAATCAGTTGTCAAATTAAAGTCACATTGGCCACACTGAAGGAACGTTTCAGATTGCAACATTAATGTCCCTTCCTTTCTAGTTAAGATCCTGCGAATCCATCCTAAACAAAACCAGTCCTGTTCCAGTCATGAGGCCACCAGTGAAAGCAGTGAATCCGTGCTGGAGACTTAGGGGACGTTGCTGGTGGGGTGCACTTGGTCAATGCCCACATTTGTGCCCTGCAGTGAACCTTTATGGCCAGGCTTCCCCAAATGGCTTCCATGTCGCTCAGTGTCTAATGAAATGCAATACTGCCAGAGACAGTTACATACTGAAGACTATAGCTGCCTTCCTCAGCATGAGCCTCTTCCTTTCTCTCCACAACGTAGCTGCTGTGGCAGTTGCTTTGCACTCTCCCTCCTTCCGTGCGAAGCAGCCGCAGGGGTCCATGAGCTCGGACAGGCCCGGGGTGCTGTGTTAAGCAGCCTGTGAGCAGTTGGAAGTGGGAAGCGGGAGCGTTTGGTGCCGGGAGAGCTTTGCAGCGGGTTGTGCCGGAGCCCACAGGGACGTCCCGGGCTGGGGACGGCACCTCGTCCCCACGCGAGGCTCAGCCACGAGTGTCTCTTGCAGATGTACCTGCGGGAGCTGCTGCGGCTCATGCACCCGCGCTTCTACCAGCACCTGCTTTCCCTGGGAGAGGACGGCCTGCAGATGCTCTTCTGTCACCGCTGGATCCTCCTCTGCTTTAAACGTGAATTTCCAGACGCTGAGGCGTTGCGCATGTGGGAAGCGTGCTGGGCTCACTATCAGGTCAGACAGCTCTCACGGGACAGCGGCGCGTCCTTCGCTGAACCCTCGCCATCCCAGCAGCGCGGTGGGCTGTGCTTAAGCGTTGTTGGTAGCAAGGTATCCAGAAGAGGTTTCATTGCAGGCATTCCCTTTCCACCACACTTTCTTAGGCGAGACTGTGGCAGCGTGGTTTACAGTCAGCAATGTTCTGTTTGATTTGCTGCAGCTTGCCTTGAAGGAAAGTAAAATGGATCCAAATTGCACCTTGAGTTGCCTCATTACAGAATTCTGGAGCTCACAGACACATGAGCTCAAAAGGTCCCTGTTTCATGCAAAACGCTTTGTTTGCCTGAGCAGCCAATTCCCCAGGTATTCGGAGTCTTTGCAGAACCTGCTGTCTGGTCTCCTGCAAGGGCAGCAGCAGGGCTGGGGGACAAGGAGAGTTTTCTGCCTGCCGAAGGGCTCCTCTCCCTCCTGCTTTGGTGGGTCCAGCAGCGCTAACGCCTGAGAAGTCTTGCCCAGCAGCTGCCCTTCCTTGTGGGCATGTTGCTGCCAAACATCCCTGTGAGATGCCCAGGGAGATTTGGAGTAGGCACATCCATGATTGGAAGCATCGCAGCCGGTCCGGAGCAATTGGGGGGTTATCTATGGAGCAGGAGGGTGGAGGCTGCGCGGAGGGTGGGGAGGTTGTCAGCCCTCTGTGCCCAGCTGCTGCAATCCAGCCCCTCTTTTCTCATTGCAGACTGACTATTTCCACCTCTTCATCTGTGTGGCCATAGTGGTGATTTATGGGGACGACGTCATTGAACAACAACTGGCCACTGACCAGATGCTGCTGCATTTTGGCAACCTGGCTATGCACATGAATGGAGAACTTGTACTCAGGAAGGTGAGTGCCTGTGTGCACATAGGGGCCAAGTCCCTGGTCCAAGAGATGAGCCAGGCCCTCAAGAAAATAAGAGACTGATGCTAAATCTTCCCCATCTCCTGTATCCCCCTGCTTATCCCAGGAAGAATAAACGGGGAGATGGTCAAATTATTCCATTAGAATCATAGAATCATTATGGTTGGGAAAAGCTTTTGAGATCATTGAGTCCAGCCATAAGCCCCTCAACACCATCCTTCTGAACCATATCCCTGAGTGCCTCATCTACACATTTCTTGAACATTGCCAGGGACGGTGACTCCCCCGCTTCCCTAGGCTGCCTCTTCCAATGCTTCACTACTCTTTCCATGTAGAAATTTTTCCTAATATCCAATTGGAACTGCCCCTGGCTCAACCTGAGGCCATTTCCTCTTGAAATGGTGTTCAGGTGTTTGCCTGGAGGGAGCCTATTCTGCAGAGACAGGGCTGGAGGAAGCTGAGGGCTTAGCAGGCAGTGATGTGGTTGGGATTACAGAACTTGCTTGTGCTTAGGGGAGCGGTGGGCAGAGCTCGTCATCCTCGTGTCACGGTCCCCAATCCAGCTCCACCTGGCCATGTGCTGCACGCGCCCTTCCCCTATGAAGTTTTGGCTCTTCTAATGTAGATATATAGAAGCTAAACACACGGACCTATAGAGCTAAAGGGGAGGAGGACAGGTAGGATGCGGTGACCGAGCCGCTTGTCTCTCCCCTGCAGGCCAGGAGTCTGCTCTATCAGTTCCACCTGCTGCCCCGCGTGCCCTGCAGCCTGCACGACCTGTGCAAGCTCTGCGGCACGGGCATGTGGGACAGCGGCTTCATCCCGGCCGTCGAGTGCTCCGGCCACCACCCCGCGTCCGAGAGCTGCCCCTACGGGGGGCTGCCAGAAGCGGCGTCTCCGAAAGCAGGAAGCGAAGGCAGGAGAGGCTTGAAAACACGGGACGTCTTTGCTTTCCGGAAATAGCCGCGGAGGAACAGGGCGTAGCGGCAGGAAGGATATGTGCAGCAGAAACATGCTGAAGGCGAGGATGGAGGGATAGTTGGTGACAACTCTGACAAGACTGAGATGTAGAGAACGGAAGAGGAATGAAACCCCTTTGTGGGTGGAAGCAAATCACATTCCACTAAGTAGTGGAACCCCAGTGAAATGCATCTGCCCAGGAACAGTGTTTGCACGTTTTTTGGATTTGATTTGATTAGAAATATGAAGCATTTCTAGATCTTACCAAGGACCTGTTATTCTGCCTCTGGGTTGGACTGGTTAGCCACCAAAACCATGTTACTCGCTGATGAGAAATGAGGATGCTCCAGAGAGCCAAGCGCAACCGGCAGCGTTTGTGGGTCAGGTGGAGAGAGCAGAGCTGGGACAAGACTGTGGACGTCCCTTCATCCAGAGCATCCTGCTCACCCGCGCTCTCTGCCTTGACCAAAACCTGCAGCCTAGTGGCTTCTCCCTAAAGCCATGATGATCGTTTTGATTTTATTTGCCAGAAATAAACCTGCAAACTGTTGGGATTGTGGGGAGGGCATGTCATTTGTTGGCGAGCTGGAACTGGCCACCTAAAGGTCTGTCCCTCGCCTTTTCTACTTTTATACAGTACCCTTGCTGGCGTGGTTTTTTCCCACTTGCACAGAATGTGTGCAGCCACGGGTCCTCAAGCACTGCTTTTCTGTATTCAGGGTATTTCACAGACACGTTTCAAAGTTTATTTCTCCATTGTATTGCAGCAAAGCAGCTCCTTTATGCTGACAACTGCAGACTTTAGACACTTGTTTATAGAACTCTGTTGTTTCCAGTGTGTTTCCCAATATGTTTCCCTTGGCTCTTATTAACTGCTGGTTATTTTCTGTCTTTCTCTGTCTTCACCATGGCTGTAGCATCTACTCTCTACTTGTGCCTTAGATGCTTCAGCTGGTACTGGGGATGTGTCCTCCTACCCTTCCTGAGGTGGAAACAAAGCTTCATTTCTTGCCGTCGTTTCTGCTGAGCTCTCTTTGCCAGCAGTTTCCTTTGTGTTGTTTTGGAAAGGACAGCAGTTTGCTCCGTGCCAGCTAGAAGTGGAGCTGCGACCTTGAGCAGGCTGTGTTGCCGACGTGTCCTAGCCAAATTCCGTGGCATCCCAAGGTGTGTCCTGAGCCAAACTTTGTGCCAAACAGAGCCTGGGGAAGAGCCGCTGTGTAAGAATGGGAAGGGAGCTGAGGCGGCAGTGCCTGCTCTGCCTTTGCCCCTTCCTTCTACATGCCCTGTGCAGTCTTGGTGCCTCTTGCTCCTTCTCCCACGAACCCACCTCTTCCTTTATACAACTCTCTTGGTCTGACGTTAATGAGAGCCACTGTGAAAGCTGTCACCGTGGTGCCTGGTGGCCGCGTGGCCACCTCAGCACAGCCTGGCCCCATGGACCTGCCCTGCGCCCGGCTGGTTCTGCTGCGCCGGCCCTTCCCAGGATGGGGATGAGGCCGTGGGATATAGGGAATTAATCGTCCGCGTTACTGCTCTGCTGTTAGAGCCGCTTAGCAGCTCCCGGGGGCTGCTCCCAGCGCTGTGCATGCTGCAGCACGGCCTTCCCTGAGTTTATCCCAATCCGGGGAAGTCCCCAAGGGGCCCTTCTCCTTTGCAACCCTCTCTGCTACCTGGGAAACTTAGGAATAGAAGAAGACAAAATCCTGGTCCTTGCAGAGCGGGCGGGAGGATCACAGAAACGAGGCCCCTCACGTGGCTTCTCTCCCACGTCGCTTCCCTGGTTGCTGAATTAGCTGCAGTCGAATAGCCAAAAATAGACCCTGGCGAAGGTGAATAGTCGCGTAAGCCTCTTTAGGCTGAGCTGGGAGCTGAGGGATCCTCCCGCCTTCGGGCACACGGGCCTGCAAAGCGACGGCGCTGGAGCCCTGAGCCGGGAGCAGTGGAGCCCGGCACGCTCGGTTCCGCTCGGCCCAACACGCTTGGTTCTGTTCAGCCCAATGCGCTCAGCTCCGCTCAGCCCGGCGCATCGGCTCCACTCAACCCAATGCGCTCGGCTCCACTTAGCCCAGCACGCTCAGTTCTGCTCGGCCTTGTCCAAGCGGTTCCGCTCAGCCCGGCACATCATCTCCACTCAGCCCAACGTGCTCGGTTCCGCTCGGCCCGCCACGCTTGGTTCCACTCGGCCTTGTCCAAGCGGTTCCGCTCGGCCCGGCGCGCTCGGCTCCACGAGCCAAGCTCTCCTCCTCCCTGTTCCAGAGCGTTTCTGCCTTCAAGAAATTGTTTTTAGGCCATTTTGATGCTGCATCTGGAAAGATCCACTGGGTGGAAAGGGCTTTAACCACCAACGTCACCGCCCAAGCGCGTAGCAGGTGCCCCGTGACCGGGAGGCACCTGCGAGGAGCAGAACCGGGTTTGCTCCGACGCCGGCCGGTTTAGTAAGGAAATGTTTGGGTAGTGCTGTCATGAGGCAAGCCCGGCCGCGGAGGCCAGCAGGCGGGGTTGGTTTTGGGGCGGGAGGCCGGAACGCACCTCGATTTCACCAGGGTTGTTTGCCAAAGGTGACCTGCGAAACCTTCCTTCTCAACACGGGGTGTCCGGCCGGGATCGGGACCTGTGGCCCCTGCTCCGAGCATGGAGCAGAGCCCGGCAGAGGGGCCCGCTCCGCCGGCTGCCCCCGGGCCGTCCCCACGCCGGGCTCAGGAGGCGCCGGAACGCGGGAGCTCTCCGGGCAAGGCCGAGAGCGTCGCCCGGCCCGTGACTCACCTGCTAATGGCAGGTGTCCTCCAGAACCACCCTAACGAGCATCGTGCCAGACTGGTTTGGGAAACCCAGCAACACGGGACCTGCTGCGGACTGGCGTTTTTTAAGGGTGATTTTTCCTGAACGGAAAAGTTTCTCCAGGTGCTCCTGGCCTTTGGCCACCACGGCCAGCGCCAGAGCCTTCCCCAGTCCCACCGGCTTCATCCAGGTGGGACCTCCCTTGCAAACGACGCTGCCCTGTGCAGGAACCAGCAGCAGCGGCTCGGACAGGAGCAGCTCAAACACCACTCCCAGGGGTTCCCCGGACCTTGTTTGGTGTCTTTTCCCCTTCTCCTTGGACTCCCAAAAAGGCATCAAGCTGCTTGTGATGACAGGGGAAGCCCTGCAGTCCCCGAAACCCGCTGCAGGCCCAAAGAGACCGAGCGCGGTGACACGCAGCCAGGTCCAGCCCGGGAACCCAATTCCCACACATCGCATGGGGGGAAAAGCTTCCAGCAGCGGCTGGAAACCTTGGAAACAGCCCGAAGCCCAGCTGGCCCTTGGGCCTTCTGCCAACGCGATAAATCTACCACCCGGCACGGGCAGCTCGGAGATGGCTCCCCCGAGCCAGGGGGACCCTCCTCACCTTCCTGCGGGTAGGAACGGTGCCAGCCAGTGGCTCCAAGCACCACGCCGTCCCCCCGCCCCGGCGAGCGCTGCCCTCCTCGCTGCCGG